TTAGAGATTGTACTCTATGAAAACACAAATTTCTTTTCCAGTTTACCTCAGATTAACTGGCCAGCTTTTTACTCAATTCACCAAGTCCTAAATTCAAATTTTTATTTTTCAAATTGGTTCTGCTACAAAGTCAAGCAAAGTGAGTAAGCATCCTATTGTTAGGGGCAGAAACAGAATAGTGGAGACTAGCTGTAAGAAATGTTAATCATGCTGTTAACTGTGATTGTCCTGTTTTGATTAAAGAAAGCACATTCTAACCTGGCTGAAAGTTGTACACCCTGTAACCATTATACCTTGCCTACTTCCCATCCTGTGATATCTACTTTCCCAAGTAATCTTTGTCCTTCTACCCAATATAAGTAGCTGGCTTATGGGGAGGGGTAGAGCAGACTTTTGTACGTGACCTGCTGCTCTCATACTGCCAGCATTATTGGAATAAACGCTCATACATGATTCAGCCCTGTCTCTGCTTAATTGGCTCAAGTAGTGGAGGCAGCCTGGACCCATTGGTTATCCAGTTTCTCCATCTGACAGTGTTTTACGCCACCTAATTAACAACTTTATGTAGCTATTTAAAATGGAAACCGGCAGTATTTATAAAAAATTTAAATTTTCATAATTATAGCTTCCTGAACTGTTGAGCAATCTGACAATGAGAAGAGATCTGAGAAAATAATTATTTTAATCATTTAAAGCAAGTTCAGTATCTGTTTCAAATTCTTTATTATACATCATGGTCACATGATTTGAGGCTGGTTAAATACAATTGGTTTTCAAATTTTCTGTGAATATTTTCTAGATTACTTCATGCAAGTGACCATGAGAATATTTGGCATTTTTAAATTTTGAAACTCTGAACAGGCACTTACATGAAAGGGAAATATGACCATTTACATATATCCACAGTTAAAACAGATGCTCCAGCGCATGGTACATGGAACCTTTTGCCAGAAAAGAAGCTGGTTACTGACCATTTTATCAAAGTGCCATCGTAGTAAAACAAGTTTAAAGAAATGTAATTTGGATTAATTAGCTTACTCATAAAGTAAGGTTAACTCACAAGACTTGCACTGAAGTGTATAAAATATATTGGTACAAAAACCAATGAATCATATGTGGAGTAGTTTCACACAACAGGCTTCGTTGTTTTAGTTCCTACACCCCACATTTAGTGTGTCTGAGATCAGACCTGAGGCACATGACTGCAGCTTTTTCACAGACTTTGAACAAATTACTTGAATTCAGTATTAAAATTTAAACAGAGTGGGTGAAATTTAAAATTGAGTTTGAACGAGCCCAAGTTCCAATTTAACAAAAATGATATATTGTCCCAGATCTGGATAACTATATGCTTATTAACAGGTCCACCTGAATCACCCCCATCCTCAAATTCTCCCCTTCAAAGGGAAGAGAATATTAATGAAGTCAAGAAAATTATATTTGCATATATGTGGTAAAAAGATTCCTTAAATTAAAAAAAATTTTTTTCAAAGTATTAACAGAAAAATTATAGAGTTTTAACAAATTCTAAATGCCAGCATAGACTCAACTCCACATTGCAGAAAACATACAGTGTACCTGTTGGATAGTAGTAGCAGAATGGTTACTTCGCATGACAGAAAAAAAGAAAAGGCTGTAATGACATGCCACATAATTTCTGCAAGGAAAAAATTAATACTTACCACAGAAGACTTCAAAGAATAAAATTCAGGAAGCTTTGGAATGGTAGACTCAGAAGCACCTACAGTGAAACATTCCATTTGCATTTCTCAAATACACATATAAGAACATAAATGTAGTACTCAAAAATATTAAGATGCCATGTTTTAAATCTCTGTAGGATGTAAGGGCCACTCAGGTTTTCCAATTTTATTTGAACACAAAATATTTAATTTTGCATGTAGAGGATAAGAGGTAATTATTGGCATGAAAAAGGAGAAGAAATTGGTTTACAATCAACATTATGCATAAAGAAAGCAAAATTACAAATACCAGCCTACTCATGAAAATCTTTAATGTTTATATTGATGCATATATGAGTGCTTACCATCAAAGTGTGCAGTAAAAAAAACCAAAACGGCAGCTTAAGAAAGTTCCAGTGTTTCAAAGAAAGCGCTTTTTTAAATGTAGTACATGTAAGAATATTTAGTTATATCATAAAATAAATGCAGCGCTGTAAGATAAAGGAAGACTATTATACATGGGCTTTTGGCCTTCCCCCTGCTTCATGCTGCAACCATCTTTAATCAACTGAACTTAATCTCAACGGTTCTAAGAGTTTTTATTTTTATTTTTTTCTCCTATTCAGTTCACATTTCAGGCTGTTCAGGAGATGCCTGTGATTCTGGTGATTCAAATCGCTGGTGAAAGTTTGTTCTCTGTTTCCTCAGTTTT